ATGGGTTATTATATAATTGCACGATACTCATTCACAAATAAAATTAATTGCTAATAAATATAATATTATGTTTAGTATAAGGATCGTATTGAATGAGTCCACTTTGATAATGTAATTCAATTATTATACAAAATTACAGTTTGACAAATATTTTAATTGATCATCTCGGTTTGTTATATTAATATGTGTTGATACGTTTTAAAATAATATATACCAAATAAAAATATAACTTTTTCGAACTCCCCGTGTGCATTATGTTTCGCGTTTTAATTAATGTGATTTATTTTTGTGGTTTAGAATTTCTATTTGTTATTGTAATCAATTATAGCTGATAAAGTCGGGGACAACAAAAGCCAGACGAGCAAAGCGAATCAAACATGGGGGGAAAGAGATTACACGCCCTTGTTGAAAAACTATTCTTGTCGGTTGTTGACAAAAGCACCTGTTTGTCAGATGTTGGAGGGTGATTTATTTAGAATTGGGTCCTTAACATATTTCGCGATATTTATGAAAGTTGTCGGTTGAAATGATTTCGCTGTACACAATTCCGAGCACGAGTTGACCGCATGATGAAGTGGTATATTATCCTATTAGGGAAACGACTTTTCATGGAAATATTCAATTTCAAGTTTCAATACTTACAGTCAACTGAAGAAAACCGTTAATATACCGTACTATGGTTGCGAATTATAATAGATTTCATACGAGTACTTAATCGATTACAAGCCACGAACATTCAATTAGGTAAAAACAATGTAATCATATCATATGGTTTGACTCGTAAGTAAATATTATTTTCTTTGTTTTTTTCGATGTCGCACTTATACGATATATATATAGCGGGCACCTAGCTGTTGTCCGGTATTATATATTTGGACGTTGTGTATCGAGTAAAAATATAAGCCAGGGAGGGGGGAGCAAAGTCAAAAATCACTGACAAAACAGCACGCGCCGTTTTAAAACGAGGATAAAACCATATAATATGATAAAACGGATTATTCATAATTAAAACATGTCCCCCCTACACCCCTCTGCTGGCGACCATTTCGCGTGCACCGCATAAGTATGTAGGTATACTTTTCAGTTGGACGGTCGAAACCAATTTCTCTAATAATATTCCGATGAACGTATATATTATTATAATATACCTACGACCCGAGCAGTCGCAATGCATCAAACTCGTCCACGGAACAGTTCACCAATATCAATGCGCACATATAATGGCTCACGACGATTTATCACTGTTTGATTTACACGCGGCGGACGATTCGAACTTTTCAATCGCAATTCGCGCAATGCATTGTAGTGAAGTTTGCAGCTTAAAGCGTTAACGTTTACGGTACAATATATCTTTGATGTGCATTTTCGTGCGGTTTTCGATGGATATAATCTCGCGCGTCGTTATACATTATTATTATAAAGTGAACGTTTATATATACACATTATGAATTATGATATTGTATACACGTGCGCATCGTCTATGCAGGTTATACGTGCAATCGTGTTTGTAAATCTCGAGCGCACAAAAGTTTTCCACACGTGTTATTATGTAATAATAATAATGATAATAACGATAATATCGCGAGCAACTTTTCGACGTGTCGAGCGCAGAGAACCCGCGCCGGGAATCTGCTCGCGCGCACACACACGCACACACGTACACTCGAGCACACAGACGCATCCGACCGGATATGTCTCGTTTTCACCTCGTCGCACTGTCGCCGGTCCATTGTGCGACGTCGCCCCCCCTCCCCTCCCCCGCATCGGCCGTATATCTCGTATTATTATTATTATTATTATTATTATTATTATTATTATTATTATTATGCGGTCGTAAACTTAAAGGACATAGTCAAACGGCGGACGGGCAAGGGGTCGTAACGGCGGCGAGTGCCGTGGGCGCGGCGGGGTATACCGGGGTGGGCAAAGTTGTTAATTACTCTCTTGACGTCCCGCGTGTATATACACGCGCCACAGTGTATATATACACGCAGACAGAGGCAACGGCGGCGGCGACGACAACACAAGAGAACAATAATGGAGCTGCCTCGGCGTCCCGGGTTATTACATATAATGATGTCGTAATAATTTCGCGTTGTGATAATATTATAATATGACGTCGTCCTGCGATGCGTGCGCCGTGTGCGGTGCGTCCTCGCCGAAAACCCGCGCGACGGTGTGCGATGATACGCGGGTATCATCCTGATACCCGAATGAGCGGGTCCTGCGGAATATAATTATACGTCCTGCGCGAACGCAGGATCTCCGATGACACTTTCGGCGACGACGACGACGACGACGACGACGACGACAGACTTTCCTCGGCGATCGCGCCGATCCGCGCACTCGACGCGTGCGCAAAACATCGACCGCCGTGTACGGATTACGGTTTATAATAAATACCTGCAGGTTATATTATGATGCGTACGACGGTAACGATGATCATATCATCGTGAAATCCTTCTGAGGGTGCAGGATCGCACGGACGTCCCGCAGCGACCACTTACCGAACCCCTTATCGCGACTTAAACCGTTAAATAACACTGCAGGTTAACCTCGGTTCTGTAAACCATCACCGCTTACCGGACCCGAAAACTGTACTGATCGGATTTCGGTCCGGTAACTTACAGGTCGATGAAATACCATAGACGTTACCAACGTCACTAGTGGTTTGATTTGTCCGGTGATCGCGGTTAACGACAATTCAAATATCTCACAACCGTTGACTTTATCGAACGAATAGATTACTGGGCCGGTAACGAGCTTACAGGTTGTTCTTTAAGCGACTCGCAGCTATAACCGCATAGATTGTTGGTAGCTTTTAGCGAACGACTGCAGTCAGGTCCTCGATTGCATACAACGAAATCGGCGGAATTATTTGATCGTGGCGACTATTTTAACCCGCCAGTGGTTTGGTCGTTACATGACGTCGTGTGCACGGATACAACGACGATGACTTCAAATCGACCAACGATTGTGTTTCCGGTCGGTTGAACGAGTGGCAAGTTATGGAAAAAAAAAAACATGACCCATAAAGCTTATATTATATTATATTATATTAATTACGATGCGTTTTGTATTGGTTTCTCGGCGGAGGGTGCATCGTTTTTATTTAGACAAAAGTATATAATATAATATATCTGTACACGCCCGCGAACGCCCCTGCAGTTCAACAACAATAATTCTCTGGATAGTTTGCTCACCCTTTTTTTTTTTTTTTTGCCAAAGGGTTCACTCAGCGCCCTTTGCGACTTTTTCATACTAATAATATGTGCGTATACGTATAACATATTTTTTTAATACGTTCCCTATCAACCATAAATCACCGGAGCAGGACCGGTTATTATGCGCGCATATACACATGCACAAGGATATATACGTATTATTATGGTTGCGGTTTTTATAATTTTTTTTTTTTTTTTACATTCAGCAAGTGTGATTTTATTTATTCGTGATCGGGTCCAGTAGTTATACTATGTGGTTTTGGCAGGACAAATTATTGTTCTAATTATTGTGATACATGTGTACATTATTAATGCTTCGGTGGTTCGACGCTGAAGAGCAAATTTATTGATTGTTATACGAGTGTCGGTGGATTGCCGTCATGCTAATTCGATTGTTTGATCACGATAAAAGTTGTATCATTACACCGGGAGGGTGGCAGACCGTTGTAATAATAATAATAATAATAATAATAATAATAATCATTGTCATCAGTTGGACATGAAATGTTCGCAAAATAAAAACCACGTGCCTGAATTATGTGTGTATGACGTATGTATATAATGTATATATTATGTGTAATGTATGGACGAGTGGTTGAGTGGATACAATTGATAACCGTAATGCTGCAGCCATTGTGATGTGCGGTCAATTCATAATGAAATACGATTATTATTATATTATTAGACTTTCAGATGTGTATTCATCATATTATTTTCAGTTCGTAATCTGCTTGAATTATACCTATACTGAAAACAACGGGTTTGATTGGCTTTTAGTTTATTCATTTCCATTTTTCGATTTCCATGTTCAATTTTTCGAAATATACGTTACAAATATGTTTTAATTTTATTCTCTGTATTATATTCTTATATAAGGTTGCATTAATCCGACATAATGATCTAATTTCCTTGTCATGTCCACAAGGCTTACCCGCTGTATAAAAATTGGAATCATAGAGCCAGTATATGCTTAGTATAGATGTGTAATTAATAACATACTTTACTCATGACTCATCACATATTTCGTCCATTAAAACGTAAGTGATTAGAACCGTCCATATTATAGTTGGTTAATTTGTTTAATATAAAATGAATTAATTAACATACTTATATACGCCTTAATATATACTCTCTGCAATACTCTAGTCTATTTATAATAAAAATTAGATATTTGATTATTTTTGAAATTTTACCAAAAACACGCACCAAATAACATGTAATAAAACATTTAAAATCTAATTAATCCCTTAAAACTAAATTCTTTGTAGGTACCTATATAAACTAAAAAGTAAAAATCTATCAAAGTGTTTTAAATATCATACGTTTAAACATAATCTAGGTACCCGACACCTGTATCATTTTGAAATACACAATTAATTGAATAAAACGTGTAGCTTATAATATTTCCTTCACATTTTCTGACATGCTTCATACACATTAACATACGCTAATATTGATGTGCATAATATGGATAATAATGATAATAAATACATATCAAAATATGATAAACACATCAAAATAATGTTAAACAACCATAATTTACCTTTCTAATTTGGTTTTAGAATGTTAGCACGTTAGGATAGTACGAACGTTACTAATGTAAAATTCACTTGGATTTTCACTGACCTGACTATATGTGCACTAAGTCGTCTGCACGACTATCTAAAGTCATAAATAAGTTGAAATTATATTTTTCAATCGAGATTTATCTCTGAACCTATATGTTTTACCATATTACGTAAATTGTACTAAATTGTTGATTTTATTTATTTTCAGACAAAATTGATGGTTCCAGTAAAAAACACGGTTGTTCTGGTAAATCAAAAAGAGTACGAACAATATTCACCCCGGAACAATTGGAGAGGTTAGAGATGGAATTCGAACGTCAACAATACATGGTGGGTCCAGAAAGACTATATCTAGCTCACACGTTACAGCTAACGGAAGCACAAGTGAGTACGAGACTAAAATTACAATTATCGACTAAACATCCGACGGTGATATTATCAAAGGCATTAATGTATTATGTTGCTTGACTCTCGAATCACTCGTCCAGCTTAGTTTAAGTTATTGTAAAAGTTTCGACAGTAAATTATTAATATCATGTGCATAAACACAACGCGGATGTATCCATTAAAATAGACATTGCTGAACAATAAATCATTAGAAATGGCTTAAGATAAATCCAGCATAGAGTGTGGTAGGGTTACATTTGGACGAAAACTTAACGTAAATAAACTTTACACAACGCGATGTTGGGTCATAATACCGTACACCAATAACGATTATTTTTATATTTATGTGTAATGGCGTATAGGTAATAGGTATATTGTAGTAAAATTTAATATTTTTTAGAAAAAATATTACATTGTAGCGTTTTATTTGATTCAGGTTAAAGTTTGGTTTCAAAATCGTAGAATAAAATGGCGAAAACAACATCTGGAAATACAGCAACAGAGGTTGGCCAATATACACCAACGGAGTACGCAGGGAATGGTCCAAGATTGCGAAGAAGACGAGGATTCGGAGGCGGAAACGAATAATTGTTCATATTACTCATAAAAATGTTACGAAAAAAATATGTAGGTAGTTTCCCATAACTCCGTGTTTAATATTGAAACGTGGCAAGTCCATCCATCGTGGTTTTAAGGAATACATGTAAATCACTATAATATTATAGAATCTCGGGTCTCTCGTGAAAACGTCTGTTTTTCTGAAATATCGGACAGAATATTTGAAATGAAAAACTTTTTTTAATGTTCGTCTTTTTACAAGGCGTAAATATTAATATCCATGTACCTAACTATAGCATTGTACATGAATTGTGGAGAATCGCCGAAATCGCTTTTAAACATAAACTGATGCCAAAACTGAAGATCAGACGGAATTTTGATGAAAGAGTGAACCTTTACAAATTGTTGAAAATCTAATTATACACTATATCTGATGTGATTAATTTGTATTGCAAGATCGTTAGTAATTAGCATGTTAGAATATAATATATAGGTTAGATGTTCCATTATTATTATTTATAAAATATTACCTATGTTGATCAAATGTAAATATATATTCTACAGTGTTGTAAATAAATAATAAAACGTGTTTAATAAATATTATTATTGGTGTTATTGGAAGTCAATAATACAGTTTAAATTTAAACGTTTGTAATATATTTGTATATGTTTTAAAAAACTGTTTCAGCATCCTTTATTCAAAACGTGGTACACAACAAAATTCTAAGACGATTTTGAAAAACAGTTTAAAATAAGCAAATATTATTATCCTCAAAGTAGGCAACTCATAACCACAATGCATGTGTGTACATAATAGGCGATAAAGGGATATTGGAACAATTGATTTACATCCATTAAAATGTAGTAAGCTCACACATATCCAACGTATATTTCAATTTTATTTTTTCAAACTAAAATATATTGTTTTGAAAGAAATATTTAAATATTTAATTTTATCATGTAACGTTTTATAATGTGTCCAGCTCAAGAAGGTACTCGACAACTTGAGAATATTAAACGTTTATAAGAATTAAGATTTGAACAGTTAAACAATTTTGAAAGAAAAAAAAAGTACGACTTTAACATCAATTAGTTATGGGTACTCAGAAATTCTATAGTTTAAAGTTTTGAAGAAAAGTGAAATCATATAATATAGATATCTGTTTGCAGGTAAATTGTTGAGTGTTTAGCTGTTTAAGTATTTTAATGTTATATACGAAAAGGGAAATACTAATAAAGATTACACAAAAGTGTAAACAAAAAAAGGTAAGAATGGAAAACAAAAAAAAAAAGATTAAAAAAGAACCTAAAGGAATGTTTAAAAACCACTGGTGGTACAGGAATTTTGTTTAAAATAGCTTAACTTCCAAAAGATAAAAAAAGAAAATAAACTCGTGTCTTAAAAGCGATACCTACTTACTGAATATATTAAAATGTATGCTTAACTAATATAATGGTATTATATTGTCTATGCATTATACGTTATTCTTATTTCTTCTATTTTTATTAATTTATTATAAAAACATATTATAAAACAAAATGCCGACCAATATATCGATAGTAATATATTTTATCGCAGTGATTTACAATTTGGATTATTAAATTTATACGAATCTAAGTTAAAGCTGCACACACTTTTGAGATTTCCTTAATATTTGTTATAAATGTTTTGATTTCAATAGGTAACGTATTAATACACTTATGGATATGTTGGTATTGATAAATATAAATTTCGCCGTTCTATTTATGTACTTAGTAAGTTAAATTATTATGTTTAGTTATCAGAAAAAGTGTTCACAGAAACAAAAATCATTGATTGACCAAACGCACTTAGCTAAAATTACCTAAGTACCTAAAGTGATTTTAGTTATTCTATTATTATTATATCTAAATATATAGATAGATTTTCCATAAAAGATGGCTAAGCTAGTGAATTCCAATGAAACAATAGCGTCTTAATGACGTTAAAAAGTTGATAACTTAAATTGTGCAGTATTCAAATGAATATATTGTTGAAAACATACTAATATAACATATAATCAAAAATAAATATGCATGAAGTAAAAGAACCTTTCTGGGGGGAATACAAAAATAACCCCCCCCTTATGAATACGCCACTGTAGGGTCCAATAGTAATTATGAAACGAACGGACTTAGTCTTAGTGCATTCAATACACATTTAAGTACATAATATACCTACGTTATAATCAAATAATATTTTTAGTTGATTTATTATTCGAAAAAATGTACCTCTGTACATAAATATAGTTATATCCTAACCAACATGTAAATGATTTTATCTGATGATTTATCATTGTTTTCCCAATATCAAATATCTCGGTGAAATTTTGGACAGGAAATTAACTTGGAATCCACACATCACCTCCAAACTACAACAAGGCTACCAAAGGCTAAAAGTTCTATACCTCTTGATCAACCAACAAACTGTATACACCTGGAGATGTTCCCTTATGTATAAGCAAATCCTACGACCGCTATTTCTATACACAGTCCCTGTGTGAGGAAATTGTGCAAAAACCCACATTAAAAAAATACAAGTTTTCCGATCAAAAGTTCTGAGAACCATTTCTAATGGCCCGTGGTTTGTGGTTTGTACGTAATGATGCAGCACCTCACAAAGACTTCCAGCTACCCACAATAACTGAGCACATTAAAAAATTAACTTCTTCGATCACATAAATTCTGTACACAGTGCTAAATTTTATAGATTAAGTGACCCACCTGCTGTACGCCGACTCGAGCGTGGACGTCCTCACGACCTCCTGTTATAACTATATTTATTTTAATTTTATAGTTTTCTTCCGATTTGTAAATAATTTAAAACGTTATTACTAACATTATTACTAATTACTAATTGTTATCTATTTTCATATGTTTAAAAAAAAAATATATTCATCAACGATAAGTTGAGATGACTGACGTCAGTAAAAGTCTCTTTAATAAAAAATATTAAAAAAAAATCATTGTTTTCAGCTAGAAAATATGTCATAATAAATAACCTACTGATATTAACTGGTATTAAAGTGTAATAACTCATCTTGCCTGGCCTTTCAAAATTTATTTTAGGAGCATAAATCGTTACACTAGCAAAGAAATATCGATAGAGAAGTAAGTTTGTTCACTAGAAACGTTTTTAAAAAACGTCGATGGAGAGTCGAGGATGAATATAATTTTAATGTCAAAAATATTGACTATTGTTTCACAGGTATTATAAACGACTACTTTTCGAATGATGAAATGTGGTAAGGTCGTAATATTATGATATATGCCTGCAAAGCTCCAACAAAATGCATATACCTTCACTTAACAGTGTATTGGTTAATTACCTAGAAAATAAGTTCATAGTACTTACTTGTACCGATCAGACCGTTTACATTTATACAACTGTTTTACTGGAATCAGAAGGTATAAATTCAAGGATGATTGTTAAATTTGAAAACTGTATTAATTGTGGTCATTGCCAGCTAATGCGTTAAATTATGTGAGAATAGTTTGTAGAGACAGTAGAGACCTATAGTAATGTTTGTCATAAAGATATTGTTAAGCTATTATATGTTTTTGGTGAAACTGTGGAGGCATCAATGTACCTAAATATAAATATAAATAATTTTGAAACCTTACAATTTCGTTTTTCTGATGCGACGATCGTCTTGCGATTTAAAATTTAAAATGGCAATACTCCAGTACTTAAAATACTGTTCATATCACATGCAAAAAAGGAGTAAGTGTCACGGACGAGTGTCCGACATCTCATTCGTCTACATTCTACAGTACCTATCTATATATGTGTCTCGTAGACCATTGGCGTGCGGTGTGATTTGGGTCGATCATACCTACTGCAGACCGTCGCCTGATGGTCAGGAGAAGATTTGGTTTTCGTATACCAGGCCTTTGGGACGTAGGATTTCGTCACTATTAGGTCCTATATCCACCTGCACTACGTATTTTAGGTTCGGAGTGGAAACTATATTGATTGGACAGCGGTAGAAAACTCTGAGGGTTTCAAAAAGATGTCAGAAATTATAAATGAATCGCAGGGTATCAGCTGCACACAATGTCTTAGATTCACGACAGTAATCGTTGATGAGAAAAAGGCGAGAAACAGCAACAGAACGTCGAAGCGGTACACACAACAAAACAAAAATAGATAATTAATCTAACAAATTGTATACAATAAATTAAGACCGAACACATCCCACGAAACGTATTAATTTATTAATTTGTTGCATCGTCTGATTTCGGACACATATCTGTGCGTATCTTATATTTCTGTTCTATCTGTCTCACATCTACTTTCCGGACGTTATTGTCGTTCAAAGTGTACATTTAAATCGAATAGTTATGGCGATGTCGCCGCGTTCTTATGCGATCAGAACTTCGCGGCCTCGCGGTGGTCGGTAAGTGCACTTGTCAAGGTAAAAGTACGAATATTACCCATATTGTATGTATAATATTATGTAATAATGATAAATAAACGAGCAAACGTACAACAAAATGTGATATGTGTTTTACTTATACTATAGGTATGCGCGGTGAAACTCGCAGTGAAGTCATTGAGCCCGCGTACGACAAAATAAATGAAAACCCGACAGCCCGCGGTTACTGCGGGTATCTATATATATATATAATATGCTTCTGTGCTCGAATCCAATATTATTTTACGGTTACACGACAAAACGAATGAATATATATATATAACGCAATAAAAGAAGAAAAATCGCACGAGCGTCTGCCACCGGGATCAAAGAGAAGAGTACTGCCGCCGCAGTGTATACCCACACAACAGCGTACCTACTTATATATTATATATTATTATTCGTCGGAGTCATATCGTTTCGCGGAGAACCGCCCGGTCGCGGTGGTTGTCGGTGTCTAAATGTAAGGAATTGTAGTGCCTGCCAGTCGCAATAAAAAGGCAATTTTGAATTTTATCATTTACATAGGTAGGTACCCGCGTACAAATGTGTATTTGGGTGTATAAAAGTCGCGTCTCGCCGTCTGGGGGGGGGGGNAAAACGTCTGTTTTTCTGAAATATCGGACAGAATATTTAAAATGAAAAACTTTTTTTAATGTTCGTCTTTTTACAAGGCGTAAATATTAATATCCATGTACCTAACTATAGCATTGTACATGAATTGTGGAGAATCGCCGAAATCGCTTTTAAACATAAACTGATGCCAAAACTGAAGATCAGACGGAATTTTGATGAAAGAGTGAACCTTTACAAATTGTTGAAAATCTAATTATACACTTTATCTGATGTGATTAATTTGTATTGCAAGATCGTTAGTAATTAGCATGTTAGAATATAATATATAGGTTAGATGTTCCATTATTATTATTTATAAAATATTACCTATGTTGATCAAATGTAAATATATATTCTACAGTGTTGTAAATAAATAATAAAACGTGTTTAATAAATATTATTATTGGTGTTATTGGAAGTCAATAATACAGTTTAAATTTAAACGTTTGTAATATATTTGTATATGTTTTAAAAAACTGTTTCAGCATCCTTTATT